CCTTAAGACGGGGTCAGGGTTGCATGGGCGCTGGCCGGCACCTCAATCCGTGCTGAAAACGGGTTTAGGGGTTTGGGGTTTAGGGGTTTAGGGGTTTAGGGTTTAGGGTTTGGGGGTTTGGGGGTTTAGGGTTTAGGGTTTAATGTTTGTCTGTCTGTCTTTGCCTGTCTGGTTGAATGCACGCGTATGTAAATGTATGCATGTACGTACGTGAATACGTACGCATGCGTGTATATACGCATGCATGTATGTTTGCCAATGCCTTCGTGCATGTAGGTGCACATGCACCTGCATGCATAAGTTTAAATACGTATGTGCATGTTGTTTGTGCGTGTACATCATATATACATATACATAATGATATGTGTCTACTTGTATAGGATAGAGTGTAGTTGTTGATGCATATGTATCTGCTCATAACTACATATGTGTGCATATGTGTATATATATATATAGATATATGTATTTCATGGCTAGTTTCTGCCCACATATGTAAACCTCCCCAGGGTAGGGGAGGGGACAAGGCCAAACAAGAAGACCACCCCCAACAGGGTGGATACCACGTGGTGGGGAGGTGGGAGGGATGGCAGCAGCCTTGCATCACCTAAAAATACAAATATATATATATATATGTATATATATATATATACATATATACATATGTATGTATGTTGTGTGTGCACATATGTATATATATATATAGATATGTACATACACATACAGATACATATGCACATGTACATGTACATGTACATGTACATACATAGACATATACATAGACATGTACATGAACATATACAAATGCATGTCCATACATACATACATGCAGACTACGTACGTACATACAGGTATACGTGCATGCAGACTACTTACGTGCATACAGACATGATGTTTTCAGCTCCATGGTCTTTATTGCCGGGAGTTGGGGGGTTCGGGGGGGCGTAGGGCAGGCCCTGGGCCCTAAAAGCCTAAACCCGTAGCCCTTAAATTTGAACCCTAACCAACGCGGGCTCGTCCTAGCTAGGTGGGAGGCAAAACATCCGAAGCCTCAAACATTTGAAGCAAGCTTAGACCCCTGAAGCCATGCCTGCCTTGTGCGAGTGTGTGAGTCGAAACCCTTGAAGCCCTAAACCCGAAACCCAATTAAACCTCTAGTAGCGGTTGGGCTAAGCAAAACTCTCCGAATCATTGGCGGTCGGGGAGGCCGTTTCTGGGAGTTCCGATCTCGGCTTACGAAAAATGAGGAGCCTCAAATACATAATGATATTGATAACGAGAATATCAACAATAACAGTACCAATAGTATGAGTAGGATTAGTTATGATAGTGGTAATACCGAAAAGAATAGTTCTGACTATTAAACTCCGATCCCTTCAACACGTAATCGAAAGCCCAAGCTCTTCAACTCACCAAGTCGAACACCCCGACTTGAGGCAGCCCTAGAGGGCCCTTAAAGGGCTTAGGGTTTAGGGTTCCCTTGTTACAGAGGACCGGCACCCTTGCGGGTTTCAGGGTGTATATAGTTTTTCACATGGGTCGCACACTAAATTAGGGTCCCTTTTGTAAGGGTGCCGTATTATGTTGGGGACAAATCTAGAGAATTGTCCCCATATATATATATATTTATTTATTTATTTATTTTTTCTTTATTAAGAAAAATCTAACTACAGTACCCATTCAGCCATTAAGCCCCAAACCCTAAACCCTAGTATATAAAACTCAGGCAGCCCTATGCGCTGGCTCTCTGGAATCTCATCATCAGGCCTCCTCGGAGGCGCTTCCTTGAACAAAAAGAGGTTTAGGGTTTAGTAAGGGGGCTTTTAGGGTTTAGGGTTTAGGGAGTTGAGGGTTTAGTAAGGGGGCTTTTACATGGGGTTCTTATGAGGGGGTTTTTGTCGGGGCTTTGTAAGGGTTCTGCTACTCGTAGGGGTTTAGGGTCTACGGGTTTAGTGGATATGGTTTAGGATGAGGGTTCGGAGTGTATAATGTTTGTTGGGGACTTGGGTTTGGGCGTTGATTTGTTTATTCCGTGAAAAAAACCTTTGAGTGATGTTATGTGGATCACTGCCATAGCCGTTCTTGAGGGAGAAGGGCTTTATTTGTTCATGACGTGTCCATCATGCACGCCGAGACGATATGCAGCGCGCTGCCTCCTGCAACCTAACTTTCTCTGGGTTTGGGGCTTAGGGTTCAGGGTTTAGGGTTTAAAGGGTTCAGGGTTTAGGGTTTAGGGTTCTGGTGCAAGGAGCCGGAGTGCGAGAGCCTGAACCGGCTTTCCCTGCCCGCTAACGTCATGTTTTTTGTTCGTACCGGATATGGCTATATAGAGACCATAACCGGGGGGGTAGTACTGCAAATTGTTCAGAAATCTCATAGTAACTTTCTTCGAACCAACAGATGGGCCCATTTAGAGTTTAGGGTAGGGGCTTGGAGTTTCGCCCAGCACATCCTCCAAACAAGCGAAACCCTTGAGTGAAACCTTGAAGCCTGAAGCCCCTCCATCCCGTGGAGTCCTTGAAGCCTCAATTCTGAAGCCCCAAAACCGAAGCCGTTTTGACTCTAATTTTGACCTGCCAACCCCAAAACCCCATGCCCTTTAAAGGCACCCTAACGCCCAAAAACTTTCGAACCCTCAAACTTACCAAACTCTTCAGCCGCACAAGCCTTTAACCCTGGGATTCAAAAGCCCTTGTGTCCTTCGCCCTACCCGCGAACACCCTCAACCCCAAAAACTGAAACCCCTAAATCCTAAATCCTAAAAATATTATAAGCCCTATAAGCCCTTAACTAAACCCATCAATCCGAAAGAACTAAAGCCCTCAAGCCCTAAGACCCTTACTTGTCAGGCGCTACGATCCACAGCGGCTGGGGCCAAAGCGCTTCCGCCTTTGGAGCTGCGGCGTTCGACGCGAGGTCGTGGATTTCTTCTTATTCTTCCGTCTCCTACTATGATGGCGACGACTGCTGCTACTGCTACTGCTACTGCTACTGCTGCTGCTGCTGCTGCTGCTGCTCCCGCTACCGCTACCGCTACCGCTACCGCTACCGCTACCGCTACCGCTACCGCTACTGCTACTGCTACTGCTACTGCTACTGCTACTGCTACTGCTACTGCTACTGCTACTCCTACGACGACGACGA